AATTAAAAAAATTTAAATGCATTGGTTTAGACTTACAGCTACACCTTTAATAAGATTGTCTCGACCAATAGTAGCCGCTATCATTCTGAGCACCGAACCTCCTTTGCCATATGAGATGGAGTCAAATGCTTCATAGACTTCGTTGGCCTTGTCAATTTCAAATGAAAGTGGATGACTCGAGGACAGAGAGTCTTTATCCATTGCTGCTTCAGTTGAGTCAAGAATAAAGAATTCTTCCTGAAACGCTGATTTGCGTAGATAATTTGGATTTAAATCACGTGTTATTGATTATGATACCATCTTCATTAGTCCATCGCTAATCAGATCTGATCCAAGGTATTCGACATAAGTAGCAAAACCTTCATTTAGCCAGAGATCTTCCCACCATTTCATAGTTACCAAATTTCCGAACCACTGCAGGAGAAATTTCGGTAGATTAGATTATTGATGATTGAGACACAAATTTTCAATTACTTGATGAGCAAGTTCATGAGCGACAACCAAGGCGACTCTTCGCTTACTCTTAGGACCGTATAAATTTTCATCGTAGAGAAGAGAGTTCTCTCTGAAACAAATAAGTAAATGATGGTAAGCAAGAGATATTTTCCAATTTTTCTTTCAGACCTGTATGTGATAAGACCCCAGTTTTCCATAGCACCAGCAGAAAAGTCGGGAAGCGCTACCATGTCTGTAAGAATCAGTAGATTATTGCATAGAGCGCATTTAGAAAGAATTTTTCTCAACCTTGTTTTTTTAAAGGAAAACTGTAGTCGAATAGTTTTTCGTAGTATTCAAGGCATTTGATTCCTGCATCGAGCGCGTATTGGGTCATTGGTGTGGCTTCTTTTCTTGACCATATACGAAACTGAACAAGCACATAGATGAAATACAGATTGAACACTGGAATTACTACTTATATATGGTTAATTATCGTACCAGAACACCAGAACTTGTGTAGTTCTGAATGTATTCAAACTCCGAAACCATTAATGCCAGCAGATAAGACGACATTTTAGGAGTTTGAAGGAACGTGGTAGTTATCCAATCGCCATTTTCTTCTCTAAATGGATTTTCTTGAAGGAATTAATTCAGAGCTTCTTCTTTTACATTTTAATAATACCTCATGAGTTTTCTTTTTTTT